TCCCCTTGGGAGAGATCCGATCTTGGTGTTCCCCCCACGCTGCACGGAAGGCGTTTTTATTCTCCTTGATGTACCGGGACGCGGCAACGCCAAGCTTCCCATCTCGTTAGCAGCGAAAAAAACGTCCCGGTCGGCAGGATGCAGCCCTGGGAGGCCAGACGCACGCGCAGGGATTTAGAGGCCGGTTCGCGGGGACGGAGGATTCTCTTGTGCGTTCTGGGCTGACGGAGGTTTTGGCTCCGAAGGATCCTGATCAGCGTCAAAGCTTGGGGGGCAGCCTCGAGCTTCTTGCAACGTCAATCCAACGTCGAGGCTCGCCGTTGCTGTCCACGCGAGATCACTGTCGCGGCCCTGGCGTTGCCACCCGACCCGATGGCTGTTAGAATGTACTCTAGATTCCATGCCGACGGACGTCTCGTCCTGTCGTCTGAATGAATCGTCAACAGCGCGAGCACCACTCGATAAGTGTTCCAAAATTAAAGAAAATAAAATAAATCGTCATTAACATTACAGCGCTGCAAGGCTTGTCATTCTATTCTATACCATATTCCGGCCTCTATTCAAACTTCGCCCACCCGTCCGTCTCCCGCTCGACGCTCTATGGAGTGGTCCGGATGTCAATCGACAGCTCAGGCACCCAGAACGTCACGGGCTCGCTCGTCGACAGGGCCTCGGAACCGAGACCCATGTAGCCGAGGTAATCCGTCGTCTTGGGAAAGTTGGCGCCCGTCATGCCCATGAGCTTCGTGACGAGCGGCATCAGGTCGCCGTGGAACTTTTCCGTCGTGTTTTTGGCGACCCAGGTCAGGACGTGCTGTTTCAAGCTGTTCTGGCCGACGTAGAGGTTGCTGACGCTTTGGTTAGCACGTTTACATTCTCCCAGAGGAGCAGATTCATGGACAGATCCATCGGCAGATCCGTGGGCGGAGAGGGGAGGGAAGCTCACAAGTCGGTGCCGTTGATCGAGTCGGTGGCGACGGACCCCTCGGGCAGGCCGATGGGCTGGGTGGCGGGCCCGATGGCGCCGAGCCACACCATGACCTCGAAGGCGGCCTTGGTGCTGTCCTTGGCCGTCGTCTTGTCGCTGTCGAGGAACATATCGATGGCGACGTTGGTGTTGACCTCCTTGGCCTCGAGGGCCGTCACGTCCGTCTTGTCGACCGTGTCGTTGCCGAGGCCGTAGGTCCACTCGACATCGACGTTGACCTCGGTCAGGCTGCTGAGCGTCGCCGGGAAGACGTCGCCCTCGACCTTGATGTTGGGGAAGGCGTGGACGGGCGCCGACTCGGGGCCGCGCGGGTACTCCCAGGTGACGGAGAACTCGGGGGCTGTCGTCTTCGTGGCGTACGTTTGGTTGTTGAAGGACGTCACGTTCATGCAGAGGCTGCCCGGTTCGCCCTCTTCCCATCCCCACTGGTTGGGGTTCACTTTGGTTGGTGTCAGCAGCGTCGCACTCGTTGAGCGGCGAACACCTCGCCTTGAGGGAGGAAGAGAGAAAAAAAAAACTCACATGTGTACTCCTGGCCCGTGGACTTGGGATGGATACCAAATGCCCGCTGGCAGTATGTTTCTTCCGTGATGCCATTGTTGATCGGAGGTCCTGGGGGTGACCAGAGAGGAGGCTGGCCCGTAGCCGAACGATGCTGATCGAGGCCGAAGAGGATGCCGAGGGTGACAGCAATGGGCAGTCCCAGAAGGCCTACGTTGACGAGAAAGCGAAAGTTGAGACCCATGGCGGACTGTGTTGATTGTGCAACGAGCGACGGATGGTGGGGGAGGGGGCTTGAGTTTCGGTCCTGACTGAACGAGAGACAGCGGATCGAAAATGTACGAGTGAAAGGGGGAAAACGTCAAGCGCCCTAAGATCTCATGGGATTTGGCGAGGAAGCGCACTTGACGGACGACAACTGGGGAAGGGCCGGTTTCGTGCAAGTCCCTGGTGATCTCGAAACGGACGACGTCAACAAGTCTCAGCGAATGAATGGGATGGACCTCAAGGGAACAGAAATAAGAAAGGTGTGCGTGTGTGTGGAGGGTGTCTGGGTCCGGTGAGGGAGAGAGAAAGAGAGAGAGCGAGTGAGAAAGCGCACGCCAGGTACATCAATGACACTGGAGTAGGCGGGCGCAGACACGGGACTGGACATGAGGGTCTGGCGGCTGCAAAGAAGCTTAGATTCTTTGCTCTGCCTACCACAGTACACCTCTGGCTCGCTCTGAATGGATCTGCTCTGCTCCGCCGGGCTTCAGCTTTTCAGGTCTCAGTCATTTAGTCCCAACTCGCCCATCTCCCTCGAGTCAACAAGTGCCTTGTTTCTGAGCCCCGGTCCTGACCACTTGACCCCCTACCCAGGGAGATACCCGATGACAGTGGCCAAGACCCGAAGCGCAGCAGGCCGACAACCCGAGCTTCCTTCCAGAAAAGATAATACGATGAGTCGGCAGGGGGGTGGCATATGCGCAAGGGGGGTCAGGGGCGGGTCGTCCGTAGTTCGGTGCGGGTTTTGAAGTCTGCAAGCGGCCCAGACGAAGGCAGAGAGAGACAAGGGGGGGGGGAAGGCGGAGAGAAGGGGTGGGGGGCAATGTTCATGGGTGACAGACATGAACGGCCGGCACGGCACAGAGACGCATGGGATGGGATTTTCTATGACCTGTTCACTGACCAGTCTGTGCCTGTTGCTTGGTACAACACGAGAATTGCTTGATTCTCGCCGCCCTGTTCGCTCTGACTGCGTGGATTGGCTCTGGGCAGCATTCCCATGACAGCCTGACTCGTCACTGGGTCCCCCCCTTTCAGACGCCCAACTGCCTGAAATGTGATCAACGGGAGTGCCGATGGTACCTGTGGATGGTAAGGGAACACGAGATGCCAGGGGTGCTGCGCTTGGCAGCTGTGATTTTTGACCCTCCGCAGCTGTTCCCGTTGGTTGACAAAGTCGCGCGAGGTATCGGGGCAATTGGCGCAATCGGCCGCGATTAGCAGTGGAGCTAGCCTCCACTGACATGGTCAACTTGGTTTAGCACGTCTGAGACCAGAGTACGATTAGCGCTTTTTCGCTGTCTTTTTCGGGCCAACAAGACGTGGTCTGATTTGGCGCCTGGCTGGTGGTGGTCTGACCGGCTCGAGAAAAAGCCATGGTCAGCTGGAGGACGCAAAAGAGCAGGTCATCAGAGGGGCTGTCCAAAAGGTGCCTTCAAGGGGGGGGAGGGAAGAGCTGGGAGAAGAAACGACGAATGAAGAAAAGGAAAAAAAAAAAAAGGTCTCATCGCCCAGTGGCGTCTGGATCCCGGATGGCAAATCAACGGACTGGCGAGATGTTCAAGCTTCTTCGTTCGATGAAATTATCTTGTTGCCTCCCTACCTATCTTCGAAGTTGGCTATTAAACTTTTGCTCTCTCCTCTATCCAGGTACTATCGTATCTATCGTCTTCCTACCAAGCAAGGCATACCCACCCGAGATACGTCAATTACCAATTCGCAATGCCCAGTGCCGCCATTCAAGCTCGTTTCCAGCGTCGATCGGATGGGGACGAGGCGCCCCCCTACTCAGTGCCTCGGCGCCTCTTCAGAGGCTCAGAATCAGAAGGGAGTGCCAGCGAGGTCACAGCTATAGGTAGGCAGTGCTGGATTGGTGGGTGACTCGCGTCTTATCGGGGCTGGGCTGCAGCGGAACACGAACGTGCCCCCTGCATACAAAATTCCCGAGCGCGTGGGTCGGCAAGGATCGCCTCGACAAAATGTTACGAAAAAAGCAATTGACACCTGGGCACTGTAGAGCAGAAACTCGTGGGTACGGTACTTGGCAAGTCTCCTGTCCACTGGCCAGTGCCCCCCTGGCATTCTGCCCTGGCCATCTTGTTGTCGAACATGGCGACGCATGCTCCCAGCGCCCCCTTAGCTGCCAGCTTCACGTCCCAAATCCAGCATCTGAACGCAGCGAGCGAGGAAAATACTGCCAAGTGGATATCTTCTCATTCCGTTGTTCTTCGGCCGAGGCCGCCGCCCGCAAGCCTCCCCTGCCCCTTGCCCCCTCCGGCAGCTTGACCAGCTCGACAGGCAAACCTAGCTAGGGCCACAGTTGACCCCCCCCCTCCATTGATCTTGATCTTGGGCCAATGATTCTAATTTTACGCACGTCATTCATCGTCGTTCATTCGTGTTCCGGCACTTCTGCCTACTTCGAGAGGGCCACAATGGGCTAAGGGGGGGGGGGGGGGTGACCACAAGTCAAGGCCAGGGGCACCACCAATACTACGACCACCAACGAGGCTCGTTCCAGCTTTTCCTGCATTTCGGGGGCCCGGGATCCCACTATGTTGCCGAGCTGGTACCTCACAGTAAACCGTCTTGGGCATAGTCCGGGCACCGGTTTGACCTCATCGCCCCTCCAGAACGAACGGCTCAGAGCTATGAGCTGCCGAATCGCGATTCACCGAGAGGGTCTCTGCCATCCACACCCCCCTCCTCCTATGGGCCCCTTTCAGATCAGATCTCTTAGACAGCCTCCCTTTTACTCTACACCCCCCAAGTCTCGTATCAAGACCGGATTCCCTCATAGCTGAGCTTCTTCGGTTTTCACGCATTCTTGCCCTCCTCCTCCTCCCCTCCCCTACGCCCATCCAACCATCCTCCTGGCATTTCTCCCCCGCCATCTAGGTGCACTCGTTTGCCTTTGTGTCTGCGTACGCCTGCTGCTAAACCCTCCATTCTTTCGGGTCCCGCCCAGCCTGCCGCCTCACATTGTACATCTACTTCCTCCGCTCACACACCTCTCGCTCTCCGTTATCCTCCTGCTACCTCTCACCATCAGGTCTCACCAGTGTCGGGTCCTACCGCTCGCTGCCCAATCATCACTGGTCACCAAGTCATCGCTCGCTACTCGCTCTAATACCGGGAGAGTTGGGAAGACGTCGGAATAGCTACCCCAGCTTCTACCTTCTCTCACCCTTCCACACATTCGCTCACCCATCTCACCACGCCCACTCTCACCTCCTCGCCCAAAATGAAGAAGAACCACGGGTACGAGGAGGAGGTCGAGATTGACGTCCTCCAGACCCCTCAGCACCTTCACCACTACCACAACAACAGCGTCCCCCAACCTTACGGCGGCTACGGCCAGCCCGCGCCCGAGTACTCCAGCAGGCCTGGCACCGCCAACGGACGTCAACCTCAAGCAAACCCAGATGAATACTACTCGGTATGGGAACCCGCAGGTACCGGCCGCTACAGCGCCCAGTCCTTTGGAGAGTCACCCGTTCACTCCCGCCCTGAGACGCCGTCCCTGAACAGCGCCTACGGAACGCCATATGACCTTCGCCCTCCCCCTAAAAATGTCTACTCCAGTGACTCGGGGCCGACGACGCCCATGGTAAATATATTCTTCTCCTGCATTGTCCACTAATTCTCGAGCTTCCTTGCTGACCCGAGCGTTCTCTCCTTCCCACAGCAGCAGAGTCAACTCAGTTTGGCTGCCCTGCTCCCCAATGGCCCTGCTCCTGTCATTGACGCAGACTGGGTCAACAAGTCTAACTCGATCGCTCGCCTGCACGACCGTGACGATGCCGACATTTGGAAGGGCTGGAAGCGTTACGTCTTCAAGCTTGTGCCCGTCCTGACCATCCTCAACACGGCCATGTACCTGCTCTACCTCGGCTACCGCATCTACTGTGTCGTCGCCGCCCAGAAGCTGCGCAACACGACCTATGCCCAGGCCTGGGTGTTTATCGGCGTCGAAATCGCCGTCGCCCTGCCCGCTCTGATGCACAACATCTGGACCATGATGGCCATGAAGAAGCGTCTCCGGCCCAAGCTGAGGCTGACGAGCAACGACGACGTGCCCTCGGTTGATGTCTTTGTCACCTGCTGCGGCGAGGAGGATGATCTCGTCGCCGACACGGTCCGCGCTGCGTGCAACCTCGACTACCCTCGTGATCGCTTCAGGGTCGTTGTTCTCGATGACGGCAAGTCTGAGGGTCTTGAGAACGCTGTGCTCGGCATGTCGCAGACCTACCCCAACCTCGTCTACATTGCGCGTCCCAAGATTCCCGGCAAGCCTCACCACTTCAAGGCCGGCAACCTGAACTATGGCCTCGATGCGGTCCACCAGCTTCCCGGCGGTGCCGGTCAATTCATGGCCGCCTTGGACGCTGACATGGTATGTTTTACGGTACTTTTTTGATGATATGACCTTGCGTGTGCTTACAATCGATAGATTCCTGAGCGCGACTGGCTTCGTGCTGTTCTGCCTCACCTTCTTGTCGACGACAAGATGGCTCTCGCCTGTCCTCCTCAGCTCTTCTATAATACTCCGGACTCGGACCCCCTCGCTCAGTCACTCGACTTCTTCGTCCACGTTATCGAGCCTATCAAGGATGCTCTCGGTGTTGCGTGGTGCACTGGGTCCGGCTACGTTGTTCGTCGTGAAGCTCTCGACCAGATTGGCAACTTCCCTCTTGGGTCCCTCGCGGAGGATGTCGCCACTTCGACACTGATGCTTGGAAAGGGCTGGAAGACGGCGTACATTCACGAGCCTCTCCAGTTCGGCACGGTCCCCGAAGATTTCGGCGGTCACTTGAAGCAGCGTACCCGCTGGGCCATTGGCACGGTCGACACGTCTTTCAAGCTCAACTTCTGCCTGTGGGGTGACAAGGTGCGCGAGATGAGCTTCGCCCAGCGTTTCTCCGGCTTCCTGTACGCCACGCTCAGTCTGTACACTGTCCTCCTGACCATCTCCATGTTCGCCATTCCCATCATTCTCGTCATGGGCAAGCCGCTGGTCGCCTTTGCCACGGACGACCAGTTTCGCTGGCTCATTCGCGCGTGCTTCGCGGCGACCATTTCGAACCGGCTGTGCGAGTTCGCCCTCTTCATCCCCGCCGGCTACCACACGGGCCAGCGCGGCTCGCGCTACCAGCTCTGGATGGCGCCCTACATCGCCCTCTGCATCGTCCGCTCCTTTATCCTGCCGACCTGGCTCGGCGGCCAGACCCAGGCCTTCAAGCCGACGGGCTCCCTGGGTTCGGCCCTCAACGAGCGCGACGCCCACAGCCGCAAGAACATGATGCGCCGCCTCTGGGCCATCCTCGTCAACTACATGGGCCTCTTCCACCTCGGCTTCGTCTATCTGACTCTCGTCGGCGTCGTCCTGACCTCCTACCGCTGCTTCTACCTCGACACGACCGTCACCGATGTCCTCCGCTGCCTCGTCACCCACGCCTTCTGGCCGCCCCTCACCTTCCTTTTCATCTGCAGCTCCCTCTGGACCCCCGTCGCCTACGCCATCGACCCGCCCACCATGCCCGAGCGCGAGGCGCTGCTCGACCGCGACCCCAAGACGGGCGTCGCCCATCCGACTAGGCAGAGCAAGAAGATTGCCTTTGGAGGCCAGGCCGCGTGGTTCGAGCTCGAGTACACCTTCACCACGGCGTACACGGCGCTCATCTTTGCGGCGTCCTTCTTCCTTTTCTAACGTATAGATTATGTCACTCTCTCTCTGTGTCTCTGCTTCTCGCTGTCTTTTAGAACAAATTTGGGGGCCACTGGATTTGGCCGTTGAAAGGGGGAAAATAAAGGGGTAACAACAATGTAATGATGACAAGACTAGATTAAGATATCCCGGTGAATAGACTGGAAGATAAACATTTTAAGTTGACTGGCTCGTGTTGTGAATGCTTCGCGATGAACTAGTGCACCTCAGTCATTCCTCCTCACTACTGCGAATGAAGCCAGTAGGCAAGACGGTCATCGAAACTTGCCTTGCAAGGGTATGGATTTCTCTTCTTGCTTCGATCTTGTGCAGTGACTTCGTAATTCATGAGCTCCACGTCTCTACTCTACGTCTATATCTACGTCTGGTGTATCTAACTCTGACTCTATATCTACACGCCAAAAGTAATGCCCCGTACCAATAGCCGCTTTGCCATGTCACTCCCATCCCGAGGGGGGGAAAAAAAGAAGAAACGCCATGTCAACATTCCCCCTTCTTCAAGCCCAGCCGATACGGAACAGCTTGTACCCACTCTCGTCCCCCCTTCCGACGCCCTTGGTCTTCCCGTGGTCCTCGGCATGCAGGATCGTCAGCTGGCGCCCGTCCGCGCCCGTCGGACGATCGCGCGCCTCAAACGACGCCTCGACCGTGTCGCTGACGCCGTTGAACCGCCCCTTCTTCCGCACCGTGGTGAACAGCCAGAAGACGCCGCTGGGAGACAGCAGCGCCGTGGCACAGTCGCGCAGCCACGTCGCGTGTTCCGGGGCGTAGACGGCGTCGGCGGCGATGAGCATGTCGGCCTTCTTATCTAGTGGCGCGACGAGGGAGGGGCGGGACCAGTCTAGGAAGGCCGTCTCGACCTGGGGCTTACGGGGGGTGGAAAAAGAAACTGAGAAGGAGGACGAGGAGGAGGACAAAGGAGAAGAAGGAGACGTAAAGTTGGCGGCTATATTAGCCGAAAGATTAGCCAGGACGGCAGGATGGTAGTCTGTCGCGATAACGGCAGCCGAGGGAACGGCGAGGCGAGGCAGCAGGGAGCCGAGGACGAGACTGATGAGACCCGTTCCGGCACCGAGCTCAACGATACGCGGGCACGGGCCGAGGGCGGCGCTCGTGAGGCCGAAGCGGGCGGGTTCGGCGCAGAGTTGCCGTGAGAGCACGATGGAGGCGCCCCAACTCTGGAGGCCGACATCGTCTGGGTCCGTAGAGTCGCGACCCGAGAGCCCGTCGTTGAGGTGTACCGCGACCGGAGGCTCGCTGGACGATGCCAGCGCAAAGGAGAAGTGACGCGTGTAGCTCTGGTCGCCCTGCTCGTCGTCGGTTGGAGTCATGTGGAAGGACTCGAGGATGGAGGCGGCCTGGTGGACGGCTCGTTCCATCGTTTCCTCAAGACTTAGGCTTGGGATCTCGGTGGCGCGGGCGATGAAGCGCGTGAGCCAGCGCTCGGTGAAAGAGCGCTCGTAGTCGTCGGCGCGCAGGGCGGCAAGGCGCTGCTGTGTGCTCCCGGGGCAGCCCTCATCATCTTCGGTGGCAGACGTGTAGCCGGAGTCGACGAAGTCCGAATCTGAGACCTTTGCATGGCCATGCTTGTGAACCAGGGTAGAAGCGAACGAGGCCGTCAGGGGGCAGTACAGAGCGGCGAGGTTTGTTAGTGATGCGAAGATCTGGTCCTCAGTGAGCGTGTCCAACACACGCAGAGGTGGTAGGCTGCCCGAAGGCACAAGCGGACACCCCGCGGGCTCCATGACGTGGGCAGGTTGGGATGTTTGAAGCTTTGAAGGAGTGACTTGGTTGAATGAAAAGGAAGAAATGCCTCTTCAGAAACTCACAACGGAGGAAACGCCATGGCGATGAGTCGCATCGGCTGGGCCTCCGCGATGACGGCGGGCGACCTTCCTGTTTGCCCTAAGTGGATGGCCCGGGGGTGGGTAGATGAGCGAGTGCCGTGAGGTAGATAAGATAAGTGGGGGCTAGACCAGGGGCAAAGGAAAAAAATTGAGGCTATCGTGAAAATTTTGGTTCGAGGCGAAAAAGCTCCAGATCCCGGTGGTGGGGGCGCCGCCCACGTGCTCCACCGACCGGCTCGCAATGGTCTCATCACGGACGTCGAGACTTGAATGACTTGACTCCGGCCAGCCTCTTGCATTGCATTAAGTGAAGGCAATAAGTATACGTACCTTTTCAAAGATGAATCTATCACTGTCACCCCGTGTTGTGGCTGGTGCCATCAAGCTTGCTCAATAAATAGTATCTCTCTCTACACAGGAGCCCACAGATCTCAGTTCGTCCTGACAGGCAATCTCCAGATGTCCCCCACATAATCGCCTTGTGTGTGTGCGGGCTACCCCGTGGCCTTGATTGTGGAGGCTGAAATCATCAATGCTATGGCCGCCTCACCTTTGTGCTTCTTTCATCTCCATATGCCATGGCTGAATAGACGAAGAGACATGCCAAGACTCTCGCCTTTCGAGAAATGCAACGTCTCGCGAGCCTAGTCCTCCATGGAGGCGATAGCGAAGCTCGCTTTGCCGTGAATTAATCAGCTCGTGGCCGGCGAGCCCAAAGCGGTAAGCTCCCTCCGCTGCAGCCGACCATCCAATTGGTGCGGGATGGAGTCATCCTCGGTCCAGTTGACGGGGGTTAAGGCTGGGGATCGACCATCGAGGAGACTACAAACACCATGCGACCGCTTCGTTGAGCAGCGAACGAGAATGGTCATTGCCTCAACGCTCGAAAGAACATCGACATGACGACTGAGAAAGATACACCCAAACAGGTGCGGGAGCAATTGGCCCTGGAACCCGGCGCTCTTCCTGTCAGCGAGCCAGAACAGCAGCAGCCGCCTCAGGATGAGAGCGAAAACACCCTTCACGCCTGGCTTACCGTCACTGGCGCCGTTCTCGTCTACTTTGTATGCTTTGGTTTCATGACGAGTTTTGGCTTTTTTCAGGACTACTACAGCAAGAATCGTCTGACCGGCTCCTCACCCTCCCTCGTCGCCCTCATCGGATCCCTCCAGCTCGGTCTGATGTACCTCGTCGGACCCATCTCTGGTGCCCTGCTCGATGCATGGGGACCCAAGGTACGGGAGTTGCCCTTTCCAAGATTGCGTCTTTCAAGGCGTGGAGAGACTACGTAGACAAGACTGACAATGACAGCTTCTCTACATTGCCGGCGCCACAGGTGCCATCATCTCCTGCGTCGGCCTGTCCTTCGCTCAACCCGACCAGATCTGGCAGTACTTTCTCAGCCAGGGCGTCCTCTTCGGCCTGACTGTCGCCTTTGGCGTCCAGGTCGCTCTGTCCGTCACAGGCCAGCACTTCAAGAAGAACCGTGCACTTGCCATGGGCATCGTCGCTGGCGGTAGCAGTGCTGGTGGTGTCTGCTTCCCCATCATGTTCTCGAGGCTCGTTCCCAAAATCGGTTTCCCCTGGACCATCCGCGTCGCCGCCTTGCTGTTCCTCGTCTGCTACGTCATCGCCATCCTCATCTCCAAGCCAAAGTCGCCGGCGCGGTCGATCGATTCAATCAGGGACATTGTTGACTTCAACGGCTTCAAGGACGTGCGGTATGTCACTCTGGCTCTGGCCACGGTCGTCGGTAACCTGGGCTTGTACGTTCCGTACAACTTTCTCGGTGAGTATCTTCTTCCCTCCCCACACTCTGTAGTGGGAATGGCTTGCTGACTTTCTCGTCAGAGGCCTTCCTGAAGCTTCATCATCCTGAAGCCAGCATCGGCAGCTATCTGCTGCCGCTGATCAACGGATCCAGCTTCTTCGGACGCGTCAGGTGAGTCTCTCGCCCTGCGATGCACAGCGCGCACATACTGATATGCCTTCCTTTAGCGGAGGCTTCATCGCCGACAAGATCGGCGGTCTCAACCTCCTCTACCCAATGACGATCCTCTCTGGCGTGCTCTGCCTCACAATGTGGCTCCTCGCCAAGAGCGTCGGCCTCATCGTCGCCTTTGCCTGTCTCTACGGTATGAGCCACCACATAACTAGTTGCGCGATTCCCTCGCGCTGCCTTGCTCTCGTCCTCCGACAACAGCCTCAGCTGACATTCATCCAGGCTTCTGTTCGGGCACCTACATCAGCGTCATGCCCTCCATCGTCGCCCGCATCTCGCCCGAGAAGCACATTGGTGCGCGGCTCGGCGCCTTCTTCAGCCTCGGCGCCATCGGCGTCTTCACGGGTACGCCCATCGGCGGCGCCTTCATCCGCGAGGGCACCGAGAAAGAGTTCCAGGGACTCGTGCTGTTTGGGGGCTGCTGCATGACGGCCGCGGGCCTGTTGCTGCTCACGGCGAGGTGGCTCTGCGACCGGAACTTCAAAACAAAGTGGTAGTAGCGTAGACCACGGCGAAGCAGGTGCTGTGAATTCCTGGGGAATTTTGGGCTTGACGATGCTTGGCGGGGATCTCGATCACAGAGGCAGGGGGGGCGGGGGTATAGTCAGAGATAAAAATTGGCATAGCGTTTTGAGCGATGATACCCCATTCGATTAGAATATGAACGAAAAGAAAACTCTGGAATAATGGGCCCAAATATGGCGATGACCCTCGCCTATATCCGATTTACCTCAATCGCGCGCATGAATGTGGGATCGCTCCGTTGTCGTGTCTGCACTGCGACGCACGCTGTCAATTGATCTACGGACAAATCCAGCTTCGTCAGATAAAAAGCGACCTTATTATCCTGATCAGATCCAACCTTCTAGTTTCAGGAGCACTCAGGACTCTTGATTGACCTAGAGCGAGGCGGTGTTTACTGCATGACGATGCATCTGATCGACGCATCTACCTTCTCGAGGACGAGCCTCTCAGACGACAAATGCCACGGCAGCAGTCGACAGGGAGCGATACGACCTCAGGCGAGGCATGACGAGTCGGATTGTCGGCATTGGGTGCACCGCACAAATGATCAGCGCTTCCTACCGAGGCGCTGGGCTAGGCATATTGCATTCCACAAGCGTGCTCGATCTCTCCCCCATCCCCCCAAAGGATATCGTGAAAAGGCCCCGAATTGGCCACAGCGGCGCTGTGCTGGCAGCGCTCTCCAAGCGCTGTGAGCTCGAATACGAGAGGCCTAGCCCGCACGGCCTGAAGGTGTCCGGGCCATTTACAGGGTCTTGCGGCCCGCTAACACGAGCTGGGGTAGCATGGGGAACAAGGCCCTACACCCGAGCTAGGCGGTTGAGCCATGCCGTGTGGGGCCTGGAGTGGCACGGGAAAGCTCTATTTTTGTTCGGTCCAAAGGACGTTAAGTCGTGGCCACGGCGTAGCCGTCCGCTGACGAGTAGGCGACTGCGCAACAATGCCGGGTGCGACAAGGGCGAAAACGAATGAGGGAAGTCTCACCACACGATACGAAGTAAGGCAAGCTGTCTGTGGGTGTTGCAAGGCTGCGTGACGCAGCGATGACCAGCTTCGGGTTAGCCATCAGCTGTTTGTCGCGATGCCTCGGAGACTTAGCCATTAATGTCCAAATCTGTTGACGATCTGCTCGTCTCGTTGAGTATAAAGGAGTAGAGTCGGTGCTGCTCAATGTTATTCTCGTCTCGTCATCACGCCATCACCACCCCGGTCAAACTATCACAACATTCGCTTTCAACACCACAACACATTCGCTTTCAGCTTCGAATCATACTTTTTGAACAATCTCACAATTCAACCACTCCTCAACCTCCAACATGCAGCTGTCCAACCTCCTCACCATCTTCACCGTCGCCACTGCTGCCTCGGCCGCCTCTGGTATGAACCCATCTCCAACAGATTTCCGTCTGAAGCATACTTACATTCATATAGTCTCCTACGACAAGGGCTACGACAACGGCTCACGCTCTCTAACTGCCGTCAGCTGCTCCGACGGCGCCAACGGCCTCATCACCCGCTACGGCTGGCAAACCCAAAAGCAGGTCAAGAAGTTCCCCTACATCGGTGGCGCGCCTGCCGTCGCTGGTTGGAACTCGCCCAACGTAAGTGCACTATCATCGTGTTTTCCATGCTCAACCCCACTGACGAGATATTCTTCAGTGCGGCACCTGCTGGGAGCTCAGCTACAACGGACGCACCATCAATGTCCTCGCTATCGACCACTCGGCAAATGGCTTCAACATTGCCCTCGACGCCATGAACGCCCTCACCGGTGGACAGGCTGTCAAGCTCGGCCGTGTCAATGCCAGCTCTAAGCAGGTCAACAAGAGCAAGTGCGGCCTCTGAGGGGTTTGCGTTGTGAGAGCAGCATGGCTGCGGGATATTGGTTTCGGATTGCAATCCATACTTGGGGGCTGTGGTTTGGCATTGGAGCGGGTTTGCATTGGCCTGTAGCGACTTGTTAGAATACGTCGAGAAATATAATCTTAATTAGTTGATACACTGCAGTCTGGGGTCAGAGGATATCTGGCTGATCCAATTCAAAATGCTACAAGGTCAAGCAGTACCCTTCACGAGGATGACCGATGCCATGACTGAGCTTGGGGCCTTGAAAAGGAAGAGAACAGGCTCGGAGGACAGTTCAACGTAGTGGGATCTTATATCCTGAGTATCGAACTGTGGTACGATGTAGACACAGTGCCTATTTTAAAGCATGCGGCGAAAGACATGAAAGGAGATATCAAGGTACACTCAAAGGGATCGGTCTGACGAAAAGAAGGACCTTGTGCTCAAGCCTTGAAAAACTAACTCACAACAGGGGCCGTGGTCGTGGATAGATATCTCGACAGGACTAGACTTATAATGACGGAAATACCGGTACCCATGGCGTGCGTCGCTTGCGATTCAAATTAGGATGCCGCCAAACTTTAGTCGCGTGATCAAGATTAGGAGGTATTACCCGCCAATCAAGCATAAATGAAGACGAGACACTCGGTTAGAAACAATATCTAGATTGCATCTTCCAGCTTCCGAACCCTGAGACGCGCAAAACCTTCCAAGTACCTAGCTTACCGGGCCAGCGGGGTTAAAGTGCAAGGGTGTGCGGGACAAGGGTGATTCGGGGATCGATACTGAAATTGAAAAAAATAGGAGGCAATAATGATCAGCCAAAATAAACTTTCAATATACGGTGTCGATCTCAAACCAGGATCACGAGATATCCCGGCGCCATTACGCCAGCTCAACTCTCGACACCTAGCGCATTGTCTTTCGTGGTCTGATCTATTTGGGCCGCAAAATCAGGCCATCAAACCTGAAGGTCAGGTCATAGCTCCGTTCTTCGTAGCGCCGTAACATGGGTGGGTTATGGTCCCACTGGCTTGAGTATCTAAACGACGTCCTTCACTTCAAAGGATCTGCTCTCTGTAGCCTTCATGGCTTTCGGGGTTACCCTGTCTGCAATAAATAATCACTGCTCCACTTAAACTCAAAATATATTAATTCGAATTCCCATGTTTCTGAACTCTTGTGCGACATGACGTCTCCGAGCGAGGAGTTCACTGGTCTGTTAAGAGACCCTTTGCTGAGGCCGACAATGTATAAGTAAAAGAGGTTGGGCTGCATGGTTACCTCGCTGCCGCAACTTACTCGTACCTCACCATTGTTGACAGCGGTTTTTTTCCTAAGCGACCGACAATGAAGTTTTCTACAGTCATCGTAGCTGGTTTTGCCGTTCTAGGCTCTGCGGCGGTGCTCAAAGGCGCACAATTTGGTGATCCGCCCCAAATACCTCTCCCAGTCGATTTCACCCGAACACTAACATAATTAGAACCGTGCACTACTGACGTCCAATGCACGTCAAACAGGTGTAACAGTGAGTGACAATAACTCATCACCATTCCTTGGCAGGTTTCTCCAAGGAGACTGGCCTAACAGTTGGCATACGCAGAGGGGAAATGCGACGTTTGTAACCAAAGCACGCCAAACTGGGGCAGTACGTATTTCAAAGACCAACAAAGATGACCATTCGGAAGCTGAAGATACCAATAGTGGAATGTCCACCCCTTTTCTCCGGTGCCCGCGACCCCTGCTGCTACGGATTGTGTCAGAGTCAGTTCGCCCATTTTCTTTCGTTGCGTACTAGAGCTGAAAACAGAACAGAGGACAGCACCTCGAGCTCGGGTTTCAGATGTGCTCGTGTCAATGGCGTCTAAAGATTCTGCGATCTCCTGATCAGCTCTTGTTAACAAATAATCTTGCGATCCGATTTTGAACAAAATACACTTTGAACCAAATCAACGAGTATTCAAGGCGGGCCCAAACACGACTCGCTTGTCACGTCAGGCTCAGAAACCGTTCTGAGCATTTGAGATGGACAACATGCATGCATGCCAGAGCTGAAGAAGTTGAGGAAGATATAAGGCACTCAATGGGTGCACCGCGATTGTGCTTGACGAGTTATAGAAGTTGACCGTGCTCATAAATGTCAATGATTTCTAAGCTTCATATGTCCATTTAACATTGATCTGATTGCGGGTGTTGGGGTTCAGCATTCCCACTTCAACGCGCCACTTGTGCACTTGAGAATAGGAATCATGGTCACAGGTACCTGTACAAGAATAACACATACAAATGTGGGCTCTGGAAGAGTGGTGCATCCGTGTATCACCCGCCTTTGATAAAGTGAGGTGTGCATGCCTTCCCTTCCTCTCCCTGTCTCCATTTTCGAGCATATGCTATGACATGAGGAAACAATAAGCTTGTGTCATGGCTGTTCCACGCATCAAGTTGTCGAGGCGAATATTGTGGACTTGTCCTAGGTAGGTTCACTTACAGACGAACTCCGCAAGCTCACTTGGCACGGCACTGCCTCACTCCACGACAGTCACAATCAAGATCCAGTTGCATGGTCAAGACGCTCAAACTCGATTCGCTATCTCAAATCTTATCAATAGCTAGTCTCTGCACGCTAAACAGTGTATAGATATCAGACTTTGCGTCAATGACATGCCACGTTTCGCACAATTCCAAACAGAGGCACACAAAAACATCCCCCACCAGGGAAATCGCTTAGACCTTGTCGTTGCGGCTGGGCGCGTACGGCTCATCAATCTGAACCTCGGCGCCGTTCTTGCTGTCGTGCTCGTTGAGGCTGTCGGTGGACTTGGCAGCGACCTCGGTGACGCCAAAGAGCTCGTCCATGTGCTCGAGAGAGAGACCCTTGGTCTCGGGGACGAAGAACCAGACGAAGACGAACATGGAAAAGGCGAAGGATCCGAAGATCATGTATGTGCCGTAACCGGCGCGGCCGACAGTGGCGAGCATGACAGGGACACTCCTGGCGACAACAAAGTTGAAGAGCCACTGGGTGGCGGCGGCGAGCGCAACGTTCATGGAACGGAGACGAGCAGAGGGAATTTCAGAGACGTAAATCCAGCACGCAGCTATATGTCGTGTTAGTAAAAGGCAAGACAAAGGGCGTGTGACAAGGGATCAACTTACGGCCCCAGCCGAACTGGAAGAAGGCGGCGAAGAGGAAGATGGCGACCAGAGCCATGTAGCCCTGAGGGGGAACATCCTCGCCCGCTTTGGGAGGCGAGATGCGGACGTAGAGACCAATGTAGAACATGCAAAGACCCTGAGCAATGGCGGTCCAGAGGAGAGACTTGCGGCGACCAAGGGAGTCGGCGGCGAACAGCAAGAAGGCGATGCAGGCAATGACCTTGACGATACCGTAGATACCGGTGCCAAGGAGAGGGACGGTAGTACCTGTGAGACCGAGGTTCTTGAAGATGACGGGGGCGTAGGTGTTGATAGCGTTGGTACCGGTCATTTGCTACTCAGGCTGTCAGTACGGATGTTGTGGTTCGGCACAGCAGGAAACAAGGCTCACCTGGCAGATCATAAGAACAACAGAGATCAAGGCACGGTTGCGGTTACCCTTGATGGTCCACATCTCGCGCATGAGGTTGCCGAAGGTGGCGTCACCGGAGATGATGCGCTCGTGCTCAAGCTGCTCCTGGATCTCACGGAACTCCTCCTGGACGTACGAGTGAGTCTCGGGCAGGTTACGGAGCTTGGCTAGAGTGGACTTGGCCTCTTCCCAGCGATCCATGCGAGCCAACCATCGAGGAGACTCGGGGGCGAAGAACATGCAGATGAAGAGCAGAAGCGAGGGGAGACCCTGGAGCGTCAGAGGAATGATGTACATGGTCTTTCCAGTGGCGTGGAGGGCGGCGCCGTAGTTGACCCAGAAGGCAATCATCATGCCCGTGACGATGAAGAGCTGATAGAGACCTGTGAGGAGACCACGGATGGAACGGGGAGCGTTCTCAGAAATGTACAGAGGGTTGACAGAGGAGGCGGCACCGACACCGAGACCAGCAATGAATCGACCGACGAAGATGGGGGCGAGATGACCGAGAGAAGCAGCCTGCATGATGACACCGATGCAGATGATGAGAGAAGTTCCGAGGAGAGCCTTCTTGCGGCCCCACTTGTCGGTAATGGGCGAAGCGGCGATGGCACCGACGAAACATCCGGCCTGGAGGGTCGAGACGATGTTGGCTGCCAGGTTGGCGTCCTTAACGTTGTTGGTGACGCCGTCAATCAGACCGTAATCCCTACGAAGAGATTAGCATTCCGTACTGCTGGTAGTAACAAGCAGCCGAGTGAGTGGTGACCTACTTCTGGAAAGGTTCCATGACAACAACGCCGCCAATGACGGAACTGTCCCAGCCAAAGGACATGGCACCGAAACAGGCCGAGCAGGCGAGGGCGAGGACCCTCCATGAATAGATCTCATGGGGATCAGTTTGCATCGCCTCATTGTGGACGATCTTTTTGAGGATGGAGACAACCATACTGGGCGACTGTCCGTAGAGGTGCTGCCGCTAGAGATGGCGTGCTGAATTGTCGACCGGGTATGGGAAGGACGATCTGTCTTTCCTTGTCTGGACCTTGCGAGGGTGCAGGGTAGCAGAGGACCGATTTGGGTTGTTGGAGGGCGGTGGTGGACACGAGAGGAAAGACACCCAAGATGGAGGGGAGGAGGTGTCCTTGATATATGATCTGAGACGCCTGCTGCCAGATGGGATGGGGAGCGATCTTCTGGGGGAACCTGGGGCATCTCTCCACATCTCAAATAGTCGGGCTTCGGACATGGTGTTGCATCGGCTTGAGGGAGCGTCTGGCCCAACAAGGGCAACATGCCTGATCATCACCAAAGCCAGCCTCCTAGGGCCCCCCGTTCGTCAGCCATCGCCCTCCACCCCCCAGACTCGACCCCAGACAATCGAGCCGCAAACCGAGTAGACGGACGGTGAATTTTCCATGAGTATTTTCCA